TTCGCTTAAGCCTGTGACGTTTGTCCGCGCCTTTTTGGGAGGGCCCGAGCACTTGAGATGATCCGTGTCCAGGCTGCCCATGTGATATTTCACCGAGCTGGGAAGCAAATGCCCTTCAAGCCGTTATGGGATGTCACGGCCGGCTTCTTCTTTTGCTTTTTGTTGGGTATATATACACACATATATATATATATGTGTGTACATGTATGTATGTATATATATATATATATTTATTATTTGTTTGTTCGAGGGAAAAGGTGGCAGGTCTTGGTTCAAGGTATTTCGAGTCCAAAAGAAAGGATCGGGCCATGACTCGCGCCGGAGCCCAAGGCCAAAGATCAAGTGAGGTCATTGACCTTTTGTTCTCCGGGCCTTTTCAAAGGGAAGGACCGGGGTTCGCCGAACTCAAAATCCTGGGGAAGATTGCAGAGAAAGCCCGCGGTGTTTTGTAGGGCTTCCTCTTCAAAGGCCGCGCTGTTTTCGTGGGGCCGAGGCGCAAGTAGCCCCCCCTGGGTTTGGATAGGCCGAAGCCCTGAGCTGAAATCCAGCCATTCCCAAGAGCCACTCCCATCCCCAAAATGCGGGCGGTGGATTCGCCCTGCGGTTTAGCCGCTCCTTAGCGTGCCAGTTTCACCATCCGGCGCATGCGCTTTGCAAAAAGCGGTCGCTCAGAGGTCCATCAGGTCCATGAGGTCTAGGCGAAGAAGGGACAAGCACAGACCAGCATGTGAGTTACAAGGATAAGACAGAGAGATTTTATGTTCTTCCTTCACAGGGGCCAAAAACACTGAATACCTCACAAATGATAAGGGCAACAAACATGCGAAAACAGCGCACAGCTTGGCTTCCACTTGTAAGTGGCATGCACTTGTACCTCAGCTGGTTTTCATGGCCTCTAAGCGACAACCAGACCGATGCCGACAGTCCCAAGGCTGGCTGATGCCGCCCGCCTGCGGGATGTGGGCGGCTTTACAGACGTGCAGGCGCGCGCGACGCGCGCATATGCTATTTTTGGCGTTTGGTCTCCTTGGATTTTTGGGATGGTCAGGCTGGGGGTGCCGCTGATCCCGGGTTTCTTGGTGGCTCCCAGCCATCCGGTCCCTTAGCTTTTTAGCCTAGTGTTTAGTGGAGGTTTCCATTTAACCCGCTCAAAGTTATTCACTTTCAGCGGGGGATCTGAGGGCAGCCTAGGTTTGTCCCATGGGATTCCCTCTCTGCGCTTCCCGAGATGCCTTCCCGAGACCAGGTGGAGCTGCGCAAGGGCCTGGCCCATGAGGCGGCGACGGGGTTGGAGCTGTCCATGGCTCTCCCATGGCGAGTGCTAGGAGACGTGACTGCTATTGTTGGATCTTCAGACTTTGACTTTTGGGGAAATCAAGGGGGTTTTCCGCTCAACACACAAAAGTTAAACTTTTTGCACAGGGATCAGCAGCAACCAAGGAGAATACTAGGGGATACTATTGGACTACTTGGGGAATCGGGAATAGGAGAACACAGGAGATACTAAAGGGTATTTCAAGAGAAGACTAAAGGACTAGGGAAGTCCTTTTCGCGGGCTTTCGCGCTTGGCAAGTCTTGTCGAGCGCCAGGGTCCGCTGCCCAATGCACCAAGCGTTTTGCCAAGGCGCGTGTGGATGTGGCTGGTTGCTGTTCCTTGTTTGTTGTTATGGAGCTGGTGCCCCGGGCAATTGGAGTGTGCAGGTTGCGTGTGGTTTATCCCTGCTTTTGTCCCAGTGAGCTTTGTCCAACCTGGGATCTATCCTGGAGTTTGCGAATTCAGGGGCCGATTCCGGCAGTACTTCTTACAGTAGTTCTGAAAGGGACCTGTGGGATAGCGAGAGGGTGAGAGAGTTCTTTCAGGGGTCAACACTTTCCTCAGCGGTTCTCGCATGCCAGTTGGCAGATTGATGCTGCATTGCGCACCTGCGCAAGTGTTGTTCATTGCAAGATATTGCAAGGAACCCACAGCTGCTTACCACTCATTTAGCGGGTAAAGAATCTGGGAGCAGTGATTGGGAGGCCGCGTGGTTTGTGCACTCGACATGTTGGGGCGTTCGTTCATATCCTTTTGCCCAGGAGCGATTCCAAGGATAGTCAGACGTTGCGACGCCCATGTCTTAGCGCCAAGGATAGCCGCCCAGTACTTCATCAATATGTCATGCAGTTTGATGCGTTGTTTCCTTGTGGGTTTGGCTCTCCTTAAGAGACTGTCGCATGACGACTCGAAACAAATGCAAGGTAGAAGGCCTGCCACCTGCGAAGCGGTGCGCCCAGGTGCCAAGAGCTTTGCGAAGGCAGAGAAGGAGTGCCCGGATCTGCTCTTCGTGCAGCGACACCTGCCCAACATGGCGGGGTGCAGCCTCGGAAAAAAATCGGTCCAGGGAACATGAAAAGATGAGGGTACGCCTGAGGACTTGGCAGGCCCGCCACCAGGGGCGGCAAGGTAGATGCACCCGGCCAGGTGGACTTCTCATCAGTTGCCGTGCCGGAGACCTGCTGAAGGCATTGCTCAGGCAGGGCTCTTGCCCACGAGTGCGTGCAAGGTGTTTGCTCGTGCTTGCGGTGTTGCAGTGCGTGTTTACAGCTCCAACCAAACCACGCCTAGCAAAATGGAGAATTCGGAATTAGTCAGGCGTTGCGCTACATGTGTAATTATAGATGTGGGTGTGTTTTAGCACAGGGGACCCTGCAAATTGCTAGATGTCCTTTTGTTTCCCTTTAAAACAACCCAAACAAAAACAATTCCGACTCAAAACATCAAAAAACGAGACGAAGCCAATGCGCTCTTCGGCCAGGTGGGGGACTCTTCCAGAGCCCACAGACACCGGCAGGTCGCCTCGCTCAGCTCGCTTGCCGCGAGCGCGCCTGGGTTCACAGCACTCATTGGTTTGACTATGTTTGACTGTTGGGTGAAGGTCAGAAAACAAACTTGTTGGTTTGTTTCGCTTCAAACTGCAGGGAGGTGACTTTGACCATGAAGTGATGCCAGTAAGGCTCAGTACTTGCGCTCATGTCCCTTGAACTCTGACGTTGCGCGCGATTTTGCGAGATTCCCCAGCATCGGCCTAAGAACTGGGTGCGTGTTCCAGCTCCAGCGCGCGCTCGCATCGCAAGCGCTTCATATGCAGAGAATTTGGGCAGCGCCCAGCGGGTGGAAGCCTCGCCCATCTCTTGAGCGCTTTGGCCGACGGGCGATTCCCCAACTGCAAGAGAACACTAGTTGAGGGGTCGCCCTGTTTTTTTCGCCCTGTTTTTTGCCAGGGCCAAGGCTTCAGGCAACCCTTGGTGCGACAAACAAGCGCCAGAGGGTGGCCTGAAGTCCCGTGAGCGCTCAAGGGTAGCGACCAGACAGGGCGCGCATGTTCCCAAGTACTGTTGGCCCCTTCATCAACCCCAGCTTATTAATGGGGGGGTGTTGCTTGGTTTTAGTGGGAACTCAGACTACTTTGTGTAGTGTGGAGGGGAACTCCCCCCTTCCCATAACCTGGGGTTGATGAATATGGGGTCGACATTCAGGTGGACGGGGGCTGCGTTGCAGCCATGGGGGAAGTCCGCCAAAAACGTGCTCTCGGCGTGTTCTTTTTTGGGGGCCCAGGAGTGGCTCGCGGAGTTCGGACGAAAGGCTGCAGCTTTTTGTTGGTGGGTTTGGAGGGAAAAGGACATTCATGTTTGATGTTGCTGCTTTTGTCTGACTCGTGAGTATGGCTCAAAAATAGGCGACCAAAACGGAACCCTGGAAAATGGGGAAAGTAGCCTAAACCCTGCGTAACCCAAGCTGATTGATTTTGAGCCACACCTGATTGGGGCCCCCAAGTGGCCGCCCGCGGGGGCCTGCCGAGCAATCAGGGGAACATACTCTTGCGCGTCCCAAGCTGGGCGAAAGGGCAAGACGTTGGACCGACGCAATGTTGCGCCTGACCTGTGCCGGTTTGAATGAATCTGTAAGCGTGGAAGCCTAGTTATAGCCAGCCTTCAAAACGCTGTTTGCAAGTAGCCGTTGTTCCAACAGGTTGGACAAAGGTTCTGCTGCGTTCGCATCCAGCGTCATGTGGTACGCCGCCCAAACACCTTGAGCCTCCTTTGCGTTACAAGAGGGTCCCCTTTGAAGTAGTTTACGACTATGAGTTAGGCTTGGCCAACCTTGCCAAAGAAAGCAGCTTCGGGCATCAAGCAGAGGTCCGAGCATTGCCCTGCGAGTGGGCCAGGGGTCGATGCGAGGGGAAAAGCAGCCTGGGAGCCTTCGTGCGGTTTGAAGTACACCCCTGGTCAAGCCGTTGAGCAGGAACGGACCCCAAGCCTACGCTCCACAGCAAACTGCCGGTCTGGAAGGCGAGCAGTTTTTCCCTAAGTTGGTGGTAGTCATGGCGGCTATCGGGGAAGTTCCGGATCACTGGCAATTGGATGTTGGACAGCCGGAGGTGCACAACCTGGTTGGGCACACTTTCGAGGGACGGACCAGGCCATGTGGCGATCCTTGAAGGGCCCACCAAAAGGTCGCAGGTTGCGCCTGCTCCGCAGCAGTTTTGTCCAGCTGAGGGTCAGGGTCGTAGCACGCACTCCAGACACAGCCGGTTTCAAGCTTTGCCAGTGTCCAGTTCTTCTGACCATAGCTTCGCACCTTCAGCCATGGCAGGAAAGGGAGGTCCCTATAAGGCCGGGTCTTTTGTCAAGTTGTATAAGCTGGCAATGTAACCAACGTGTGTCTTGTCTCAATTCTTGTCTGTCTCCAAAAAAAAAAACGGTGCAATCTCTTTGTAGACGGTTTGGAAGGGACCAAAAGCAAGGCAATTGGGGGGCTTGCCGCAGGTCTTTGTGGGCGGCTTGCCGCAGGAGTGCACCACGGAAGCCGCTCGGGAAGGCAAAGGGCAAGCGGGGAAACCGCTCCTTTCATATCAGGCAGAAAAAAGTTTGTTTGGAGTTTTGATCGAAATCTCCATTGGCAGGTCTTGCAAAGTCGGATGAGATGCTGGTGCAGCTGCATGGGCCAGTGTCATGCGCTATTGTTGAAGCATTCACCAGGAGACGCAATTGTGCTCGCTTTGGTTTTTTCAGAGTTCTTGTTGAGTCAATGGCTCGTCCACAGAAAAGTTGCAACCACTAGGTAGGGTATGTACTTGAGCATCTCTCAGAAGCTGCTTATGTGAGTGCTGTGTTTGTTCCCATGAGGGCGCTGTAGCCCGCATAAACCCCTGACTAACTTTGATTCACTCCTTGCAGCTACTTTAGGGAGGGTTCTCAGTCGATCATCCGGCGCGCTCCCCGGAAGAGTTTGAACCGATTACCTTTCGCACTTTCCGAAGGCTGCTATGTCGGTCACCTTCTGTGCGCAAGTCTTTAGACTAATTCTTGGTGACTCACCCTGAAACGTGTGCGTGTGCGTGTGTGTGTGACCTGTTTGATCACTCTTCGTATTGCATGGAAGGTTCTTAGTTGGTCTCTCTGACCTCCAGTGAGACCTTAGTTTGCATTTCGTTTGCAGAGGGCGCTGCTGTCATGGCACTGTGAGGGCGCGTCTTTCAGCGAAGGAGGCTTGATTCACTTGCTGCCTGCGGCCTTTTTGAACAGTCATGGTACAAAAGTTCATTCACGCAAAGCATTCTTGCACGTGGCACTGAGACGCCGCCTTTTTGAGGCTTTAGCTTTCTTCCTGGGACCTCGGGTCAGGTTACCTGTTAGTGAGTGAAAGGGTACCCTCTAAAGGTTCGGGAGGATGCTTGCTTGATCGCTTGCTCTTTTCCACAGGTCCCTTCAAGTTGTTCCAGGAGGGGCATGTTGATCACACTGCATGCCTCAGGGGGCATTCAATTGATCATGCTGGGTGCTCCTCCCAAAAGGCTACTCATTTGATCGCTTTGTGCTTCCGAATGTACTTGGTTGTGCACTTGATGAGATTTCCCCGGAGGGTACTTATTTGATGTGCACTATGTTTAGCTGGATTGGCAATGGAAGCTTGCAAGGTCGCACTGAGTCACACCGTGCACCTATAGTGACTAAACATCAGTTAGCTTCTGGATCCCCACCCATTAGAAAGTCTCTTTGAAACAATGCCGGTACCTATTGCTTGGGCAACTGGTTCCGGAAGCTTGCATGCATGCCGAATGCATGCAAAGAGCACTTGCGCTGAGACCCTCACCGAGTACTTCTCTTCCTTTGGAAACCTCACGGATGTCGTGGCCGCTCCGTTTGCAAGCAGCAGGGAGGGATATCGATTGATGTGAAGCCCGAGGGGTAAGCCGGATACGGTTGCAGAATGCCTACAAACTTTAAGAGAGAAGTGTTGCTTGGCGCGGCGGCGTGGGAGGCATGTTGCGTATCTTCCAGTTCAAAGTTGCTTCCATTTAAGCCTTGTCCAACTTTCAGTCCTTAGTGGCTCGCATCATCCTCCCTCAGCCCTCCGCACTGGCCCATCAGGTGATGACTGACAGAGGCACTGGCCGCTCGAGGGGCTTCGGCTTTGTCTCCTTCGACACCCCGGAGCCTGTGGACCAGATCATGGCCATGCACAAGGACACAAAAAGTTGTCTCAACGGGCGAGCCGTTTTTTTCTTCTTCTTTTTCTCGTTGCCAAAGTCTTCGTTCCAAACAGCAAGGATGCCGGAGCATCATTTTTTGTTGAAGGCCGCCAAGGAATTGTTGGTTGATAGGGACCCCGAAGAAGTGAGACCCATTGCAAGCAGGGCCCTGCCAGTACACGCCCGACTGTCGGCAAACTTTCTTTTGGGGCATTCCAATCTCTATTACACCCTATGCGTTCGTGAGGTTGTTTTTTCACTCCGGCGGAACAGCAACTCTTGGTGGATGCGTGGTGGGTAGAGCCAATGGCGTAGGAGCGAATTGGATTTGAATAAAGGGCTCTTCCAGGGCCCGTCCTTCCATCTCAGCAGAAGCTGGGTAGCCCGCCACCTTGCGTTGTCCCATCGGGAACGGAGGATCATAAGATCATGGACAAGTGGATTGACTGCCCACGCCTCAGTGTGGACAGTATTTGACTGTTTTCCCCGTCGATTGCTTCGCAATTGCCTTGAACAAAGGATTTCGCCTTCTGTATCCTTCCGGGGTGAAAGCCGTGCTTTGCGTGCCCTTCCCGAGGCAAGAGTGCAACCCCAGAGGGCAGCAAGGGCGGTGGCAAGGGATTCGGATGCGGCGGATGCGGCTTCAAGGGCGGCATGGGCGGCATGGGCGGTATGGGCGGCATGGGCGGCATGGGGACCCTTGCCTGCAGTTCGGCCAACCCGAAGAGGGGTCCACCAAAAAGGCCACGGTTGGAATGCGCCAAACGGCCAAGGCCCCAGAATTATGATCACGTGAAAAGCGTGCGAAGTGAAGCTGCTGCTGTCCTCCGAGTTTCAAGCCCAGGAAGGGCATGGATCGGCCTGGCGACTGGAAGTGCCCAGGCACGAGCTCACAGACGTCGATGAGTTTGCACCGGGTCCTTGAACATGGCCTGGAGCGCAAACCATTTGAGAGCACAAGTTTCGTCGGAGACAAGAACAGGTTGGT